TCTGTCAGCATGTTGGCAGTTGTTTAAAATAAATTTTCTGTAAAGAGACAAGCAAAGATTAATGAAACAACATTTGAGCCCCAGACCGTCCATTTAGTTAAATATAAAAACAAAACAAAACTATAAGTTAAGAACATTCAGATTGTATAGCACAGGTTGATGCATTTTTAAACAATATTTACAGTATTACCCGAGACTAGAGGGAATTAAAGAGAAGTGTAAAAACCATAAAAAAGCACCAATTTTGTAGCAAAATATCTGTACATTTAGAAACATTATATAACTACACATTATCAAAGGAATATGGGACCTTGACCAGTGGTTCACAGAAGCACAATATAAAAAAAAAAGAATTAAGTGGTTAAATACTATACAATAAATTTTACAATTAACATAATGATGCAGTGCTACTAGCAACGGGAAGAATGCAGGCAAGATGATTCTCTTAACTTCCAGTTTTTTTATTTTGGAGGGGGAAAAATCAAGGGTCCTGCTTTGAAGCAATATTGATAAATAGGACATTAAAGCTAGCTTAAAGTTTAACATGTGAGCATCCCAATCCCAAAATAGGATTTCTAAGCATTAATCATCTGAATTTTCCAAGTATACCTAGGAGAAGGTGTGGCAAACCCTGGGGTGGAGTTAAAAGAGGGATCAGAATCCATATGTAGCCACAAGCGAACTAAGTCCAACCTCTTTTGAATTCTATTGACCCTTATCTAACTCCAAGCAGGTGCTAACTATTAGTTAAAAATATTCCTGTGCATGGCAATGAGTAATATAATAAATCAATTTAATTGGACCTGATCTTTTGTGCCTGACAGTATCCTGCTCACTGCATTACATTCAACAGTTGTGTAACCTGAATGTTAACCAAAGGCAAAACAGTGCAGAAACATTAAAAATGGATTGGTGTAAAGCATAAATGGAAGTGAACTACACAATTTCCTTGATATGGAATCCCACAGCCTTCCTGTAATGTTACCCTAACCTTGTTCAGAGGGCACTGCCTTTTCACCATTTTGAGAATTGAGCGGTTTGTGATCCTTATATGAATTTTGAGAATTGAGCGATCCTTATGAATTTTAATACTGATTATTGAGAAGTTAATACCTTAGTGCTAATTAATAAATAACATTGTTACCTCAGGGTTAGGGTTAAGGTTATGCTTGCCATTACTTAAAAAACACAACAATTGTGTTTGCAGTGTGCCTATCCTCTTCGGCTGTATCACCTGGTTTTATTTACCTTTACCAACAACTGTGTATACTAGGCAGAAGTGGAAAACAGGCAAGTGTGTATTAAATCTAAATCCCATATTATTCCCACATTGTATTTACAGCAGAAATCCCTCTAGCTTCAAATCTTGTCAACTGTATTCACATCTCCCTTAACATTGGCTTAATGGATATTTCCCCTCAGCCTTAAAGTGAACTAAATGTTCTTAAAGGGCCCAAGTTATTTTAATGTCTTTTACTCCTTTATATATGATAAATTCCTTCTCCATGCATACATGTACACATATGTGTGTGCAAATATACACCCACATGTATATAAACACACACATACTCGTCTATATAATGCTAGTAAGTGCAGCTGAAGCTCAAAGTTAACTTGTCAAAGTGTTCAGGAATGTACTGAAAATATTAAAAAAAATCTACAGCAGCTCTTATCAGAATATTCCCTATTTACAACTTGTTATGAAATAAAAAAAAGTCCACTGAAGGCTATTTACTGAACTGTATGTAACAATAACAAAAAAAATACATTATGTATTTTACATTTTGGTTAAGAACACTGAAGAAATTTTATTGGTGTAAAAAGTTACCCAATTAAAAAAAGAGTCCTATTGCTTTCAATAATTTGAGTAGGTCCTTGAAATTTAGGCACTTGGTAGCTACAGTTATATGGCCAGCCCATTTCTTTCTTTCTTTCTTTCTTTCTTT